CCAGGGAGAGCCTGAAACTCTGCATTTATACCGTGTTTTGATGTGACTGGTCTGTGGCATCTACTTTTGGGTCGCAAGACTCTACCATACATGATCTTGTTAATTCTCCCCAGGCAGCATTACAGTAGCCATCCTTAGCCCAATTTCACTGACAAAGAAGTGTCCTATATGCCTTTGCATTGATAAAAAGTAGGAAAACAGGAACCCCAGCAGAGTTCTTTTTACTCGTGACTATTTCAAAATAGTCCCTTTCCATTCTAAAATATTCTGTTTAGAAATTACTGCTACACTCGTATAAAGTAAACTGGTATGATGAAGATAAACTTTTAATAAAGATCAGAAGGATGAGGAATTGCTGTCCGTAGAGAAGAGGCTGGAGACTGAGGCTTCATAGAGATGATATCAGCCTTACAGGGAAGTCAGACTGAAGAGAAGCCAAAACGGGCAAAATATAAACGAACAGTTATGTCCAACATACTGTACTGTGATCAGAGCACAAGCCAGCAGAAACAAGAACTGTGAAGAGAGGCCCAGGATAGCAGGCCAAGCTCCAGGATCTGGCACTTCTTTGGTTTATCCCATTACTCACATTCCTCATCAAGCACAGCACGTACTTTCTTATTATCTATATTACCGCCTTATTTTAGGAGGTGCATGACGTCTGATAAGAATGGCCTCCCCTTTCTAATGTGCTTGTTCTAGGCAGACCTCCTGGAAGAAGTCTTAGTGCCCATGCCCTCCTGCCCCACATGCATCTGTGGAGATGCTCTATAAAATGCCAGCTATAGGGTGTATGCCCACAGGAACAAAGAGGTTAATTCTCCCCTTTTGAAATTGTGACTCCCACCCTTCCTCGATCCCTCTAAGTGTTTCCTTTTAAAGAAAAGCCATGGTTCACTGCTAGTAAAAATTACAGACAACAGCACAAAACTCCAAGTTCATGCTGGTGCTATCGATGACAGAATATTAAAATTGCCACTCAAGTTTCTCTTTCCTTGAACACTGACGAAGACGACCAGTGGAGACCAGCCTTCAGGATGCAGGTTCATTTCAGATTTTTTGCACTGACTTCTCTCCATTCACAATATTGAGTACAATGAGTAAACCAGGGGTGCCGCTCATTTGAGTTGAAATAGTAGAAGTAACAACATACCCCTCAAAATTGGATGTGATCTTCCTGCCTCCCCACCCCCATATCACACATGGAGCACCAAGAAAATACAAGAGGATTTGCTAGTAAAGGTTAGTTTATAAAGTATAGGAGAGAAAGCTCTAATGCTCCCTCCCCCTCTAAGATTCACTGCTAGCCTCTGCGATTACACCAAGCTAGCTCCTCCCTTAGTTCCTGATTGTGCCCTGGCAATCAGTATCATACCTCATGTGCATCTCAGACTTTCCTCTCACTGACTGAATTTTAAAGATTCTTATTCTCTCTCACACCAGTCTGGAGACCTGGCCTCAGTTCCCAATCACATATTGGCATGACGGTTTGATATGTATACATACTTGCCAGGCAGGCACTTGTGCCACTGAGCCATATCTCAGGCCCTGAAGTAGATTTCTGATGCTCAACTTTTAAAATTACTGCTGGAGCAGTTCAAGAAGATGGGCTCAAGCTCCTTCCCCATAAAAACATACAGAAGGTCAAAGATGTTTCCAAAGCAGGTAGAATTTTCTCACTAGATATCCAACACTGAACGTGAAGACTGCCAACATAAATGTACAGTTAGACTAGAGGAAGAGGTTGAACAAATGTATACGTTAACCATGATATAACCTGACATTCAGGTGTTCAGATATTCTCCCAAGACAGGTCAAGAGACGTGAGAGAACAAGCAGGAGGAAAGAGAAAAATTTAGGTGAGCCCTTCTCTCTCTTTTATGCCTTTTTAGTATGTTGGACACTTAGAGGAATGAAATTAAAACTCGTGAAAAACAGTCATATCAACTTGCTATGGTGACTCAAAAGTTGTCGTTTCTCGATTCGACTCTGCTGAAACACTTGATTCATGTTGTTCTTATTTAACCTAATTTGCATTGATTTAATCAGTGCTGGTATGCTTTAAATACATAATAAATTGGGATTCTGCAACTTAGATGACTTAGAATAGCTAAATTTCAATAAAGCTCATTTCAATCTGTTAATGTATACGGTTCTGCCAAGGGGTTTAAAACTGTAGAAAAGATGCAACTTGCCACATTAGAGGTGAGAAAGGTTTAAAGATACCATGCAGATGAAATGATTTGCAGGATAATAATGTGAAAAGTAATATCATATATATATTACAGCCTCGAAGCATCTCCTAAGGTTTGAGTAGCACGCTTAGAGGAAAACTCACACAGAAATGCAGTGAATTTAATTTTATTCTCTTCCTTTCTTGCCAACACTGAACTCTTTTCTGCCTCTCTGTACCAGCTCTACAAATCAAGTGACATCCAAAGTGGGACCTCTTCTTGCCATTTGGCAGCCTCTGTCACCACTGTGCCACGCTGCATGCATTAGGAGGATTTTCTTCCTAGCAGTCCTGAGGACTGGGTGGCTGGTACTCACAATGCTCGCTTAGTGGTTGGGGGCTGTTCACCCCTGTCTGTGCCTGCCCAGCCCCCCTGCTCCAACGCCTTTGACTTTATGGCTCAGTCAGCTGGCCTGATGTCAGGAATAATTGTTTTGGCAAGAGGTGAATCCACTTGATGGAGAAATTGTTTCTCTGCCTGTTAAAGTGTTCTGCAGCATCTTAGAAGAGCCAGGACAAAACCTGCAAGTGTCCTGTGCAGAGCTGGCAGGGAGGCCTGAATGAGGAGAAACAACCACAATGAGGAGGAATACCAAAGGACCATTTGGGCCAGTAGCAAACGACCTTAGATGATCCCCTGATGTGTCTGGGTCTCAGCTTCATCACATACAGCATGAAAAGGGTTGATTTTCTAATGTCTCTTCTCACTCTTAAGACAGCATGTGATGTCTAGAACATTTTATATTTGTGTTCAATTAAATGATGCATCTCAGAGATGACTGACCAGGGCACAGCTCAGATGAATACAAAATGGGAATGATTCATGCCCTGTGCAGATGACTTTTCCTGAAAAGTACCATTAGTCTTTGGTGACTTTAATTCCATGGGTTGGCTCCTACAGCTTGGGTGTTATGGATGACTCCAGTCAGTGATCTGACCAACATATTCAATCTAGGAGCTCTGCTAAGCCCCTCCCATTCGTATCAAAGTGTGTACCCTCATTGACAATGCCCCATTCTATTGAATTCCCTGGAGGAAGCTATGATAGGAATTCAAAGAGGGGAGTCAGAGATTCTTCTTTCCACTCCCTTGGGCATCCTTGTCAAGTAAGCAGGCCTGTCCATGTTCACTTTCTTCAGGCTTACTCAGCCATTTTTGAGGATGACCAACAAATAGGTCCTTGACAATGTATCCCAACCATACTAGTTGGAAAGAGAAAGACAGAGAGAGAGAGAGAGAGAGAGAGAGAGAGAGAGAGAGAGAGATTATTCACTGTGAGGACTCTTATCTATAAATGATTGTGAGGGAAAGAATGAAGCAAAGGCTTCTCCTCATACTTAGAAGTAGTACAGCTTCCTACGGCTTCAGCTCTCCATGAGGTGAGCTGATGAACAGAAGGCTTCACTACGGTTTAAAGCACCCTTTCCCCACACATCTCCAGCACCTTCTCCTCGGGTGATGTGTAGGACAGTCTTGGCCCTCCATACATCATTCAACAGCATCTTCATCCATCTGCATGAACCCCACAGATTTCCTAGTGAAACCCCACGGGATCTCAGGCAAAAATCTCCCTGCACACAGACACCCTTCTCTGCCACACTGAATCTCACATCACGGGGACTGGGATGGCTTCCCAAACTGGGTGGCTTTGAAAGTATTCCCCCATCCACCACGAAAAAAGGGCTGGCTCACTGCAGAACTCCAGTGCTTGCATGGGGAGGAAAAAAAAATGATAGCCAAGCCCCAAATCATTGCCTTCCTGTGTCTTCGCAAGTTGTTTTTGTAAGTAAAGCAAAGGACTAAATGTTGATTTCTCTACAGATTCCTACGTATCTCTTACACGTAGACAGCTTTAAAGGAGGAAAAAAAAAAGAAATTATATATATATATATATATATATATATATATATATATATATA